TGTGGTAATATAGACTGCAAGTCAGAAATCATAAATTGGATAGCAGCAGAATAAGGAACTATTTTGACTCCCCAGTCAAACACTTAAGAACCACAAAAACTCACAATGTTAGAATAAAATGAATAGAAGAAAAATTCCTAAAAAAAAATAGAGGGACTCCAATACTGCAAAAAAAAAATAAAAAATCTATATGTAGGGTTCTAAAAAAAGATCCTGCTTAATAATTTTCTTGACAATTGAATCATGTGTAACTGATTGGCAACCAAGTACAATGGATAATTTTGAGATATAATTAAATATTTCTCATAATAACTCAACAACAAATAAACAACCAATCAAAATATGACCAAAGGATTCAAATAGATATTTCTCCAAAAAAGATGTACAAACGATCAACAAGCACATGAAAAGATTCTCAACATTACTAATCATTAGGGAAATGTAAATCAAAACCACAATGAAATACCACTTTACATCCATTAAGATGACAATAATAAACAAACAAACAGAAACTATAAAATGTTGGTGAGAATATGGAGAAATTGGAACCATTGTCCATTGCTGGTGGAATGTAAAATGGTGCAGCCTTTGCAGAAAACAGTATGACTACGATAGTTTCTCAAAAAATTAAGCAGAACTACTATATGATCCAGAAACTGCATTTCTGGGTATATACTCAAAGACTTGAAAGTGGGGACTTGGACAGGTATTTGTACACCAATGTTCAAAGAATCAGTATTCAAAATAGGCAAAAGATGGAAATAATCCAAATGTTCATCAATAGATGAATGGGTAAGCAAAATGTGGTATATATACATATATAATGGAACATTACTCAACCTAAGTGAAATAAGCCAGACATAAAACAGCAAATATATAATTCCACTTATGAGAGGTACTGAAAGTACTCAAATTCATAGTGAAAGAAAATAGAATATGGTTACTAGGGACTGAGTGGAGGGAAAATGGGGAATAGTTGTTTAACGGGTACAGAGTTTTAGTTTTGGAAAATGAAAAAATTCTGGAGATGGATGATGGCGATTGTTGCACAACAATGTGAATATATTCAATGTCAATAAACTGTACATCTAAAAATGGATATAAAGGTAAATTTTATGTTATATATGTTTTGCCACATTAAAAAAAATTCTCATAAATAAGTATGTCTCTCGACAAATATTGAGACAATGCATACCTGTTATGACCTTCCAATTTTGATGTCAGTGGGACTTTTATGATTTCTTATTTCTGAACACCACATACCAATCTTGATCTATTTCTCTTTCCTGGATTCATGTTTCTTAATCTTCTTTCCAGGCACACAGAAGTCTTTTTACTCCCTAGTCTCCTTGAATTTAGTCATGGGCCTGTGACTTACATTGACCAGGGGAAAGTGAATGTCACTTTCAGGAGAAGCGTTTAATCTCCAGTGTTTGATTCTCCAGTGCTACCTGCCCCGCTGTAGCCAATGTGACAGCACATACAGGTATAAAGAGAAAATTGCACCATCACATGGAGAACAGGTGCTTTGCACATCACCCGAACCTTAAAGTGACTCCACATGCAAGAAATAAACTCATAAGTTTAAGCGCTTTTCAACTTATACAGCAAATTCAAACACATCATGTCATCAAAAATTAAAACATCTGATAATACATTTGTGAGCAAAATTGGTAGGAAATGAGTGAATTCACTCGTACTCTACTGGTGGCAGTACAAAGAGATAGATGTATACATGTTGGAGAATCAATCTGAATTATAAAATTTAAAATGCATGTATGTCATCAGTGAGCAATGATCTTATATATTAAGATCTTAATATATAATGTGGAGAATCTCTCCCACATGACGTGAAGATGGACATACAGGATGTTCAGCACAGCATTGTTTTAACATTTCCACATTGGAAATAAATTGTGTCTATTAACAGTGCAATAACATAAAAATTATGATTTGTATGTAATATAAAATTGAATGCTGCAATTTAAGAAGCACAAAATATCCCTATGTGTGAAACTGTGAGTTTCAAGACATCATGTTGACAATTTCATAGTAATGTGAACTCAGTGATACAAGTTATGTAAAGCAAGTTCAAATTCTACATATTTCACCAGGACACATGAGTGAACTCTGGGGAGGGTCTAGCGAGGTTCACACCAGTGCTAATGTCAATGAGGGGAGGGAAGTTAGAAGGGCTGTAAAGTGACTTTGACTTTTCAATGATGCTGGGTTTATTATGACAGCAATCTGTTCACATATTTCTTATGTATTAATAATGTAATACTTGTGAATTCCCTTTTAGTAATGGAAGACTAAGTAATTCAGACCAACCAGGCCTTCAAGAAAACTTTAAAAGACAAAAACTATTAAGTAACTGCTCTTGAAATCATCAAAGAACTAAACGGAGGTGAAGAATTACACAGTCAAGATCCAGGAAAGAAAACTACTACCAAGATGACCTGGGCATTTGGAAACATTTATCCTAAAAGGGGATCTGTTGACTTAACAAGGAGATCAGAAGCTGAAAAGGTGAGCAGGTTGTGGAAGCCTGTCAGGTACAGACAACCACAAATTGAAATCCAAGACTCACCGATTGGAGAGGACTTGTTAACTCTATGTTATTTGGGTTGAGATGCTGAAAGCTACACCATAAATAGGGATTAGTCAGAAATGGACTGATCCTTACAGGTACTTATACCTGGCTTTGAAGTCCCATGTTGGTTTAAGGTGATATGGGATTATAAGTACTTCTTGCTGTCTTCTAGAAGAAAAAAATAAGCAAAAACAAAAACAACCTTTTTGAAGAGTGATGAAATCATTCTATCTTCAAGTTGTCTCTGTGAATATTCATATACAATATCTGTCATGCAATCAAAAAAAGGCCAGGCACAGGAAGGGTAAGTTTTTATGACTGAATAATAAAAGAAAAAAGTAGAAATAGACCCACAAAAAATCCAGGTAATGGAGTTTTCAGATGCAGATTTTATAATAGCTATGTTTAAAATGTGAAAGAAAATTAAAGAAAAAACTTAGAATTTCAGGGGAGTACTGGAAAAAAGGAAGTTGTAAAATGGAAAATAAAATTAACAAGTTAAAGCCTCAATAAAAGGGTTTAACAGCTGATTAGATGCACAAATGAAGAAAATAGTATACTGTGAATGAATGAAAAATAGAAATAATGCTCTGTATGAAATATGAGAATATAAACAAAGAATATAAATAATACTCTATATGAAATATCAGAAGAAAAAGAAGATGCAAAATGTAAACTAGAAGATTATAAACAGTTAACACAAGGAAAATGTTTGCAGTAAAATCTCAGCAGGAAAGGAGAAAATATTACAGAAGCAATATTTGAAGATATAGTAGCTGAGGATTTCCTTAAACTGACAAAGGGTATCAAGCCAAGATAAAAGACACATTATGAACCACAAACAGGATAAACAAAAAAAACCCACACCTAGCCACATAATGATACAGCTAAAACACAAATATCATGAAAAAACCTTAACAGCATTCTAAGGTACAAGACAGATTACCTTCAAAAGACAGCTGACTTCTCACATTCAAAAAAGAAGGGGGTTAATTTCTCATGCTCCATTTCAGCGGCCCCAGGGTTACTAGGTTCAGATCCCAGGCACGAACCAAGACACCGCTCATCAAACCATGCTGTGGTGGCCTCCCACATACAAAATGGAGGAAGATGGGCACAGACGTTAGGTCAGGGCCAATCTTCCTCACCAAAAAAAAGGAAGCAGAAGTCAATGGTATGCCATCATCAAATCTGAAAGGAAATGCTTGCAAGACTAGTGTTCTATACCAAGTAAAAATGTATTTTAAGAAAGAAGCTCAAAGAGATAAAAATAGTGGTAATTTATGACCAGAAATCTTGTGCTAAGAAAGTAGTTAAGGGTTTTCTTCAGCAGAAGAAAAAGAATCTGTTTTAAAAACAAACAATCAAGATTTCTACTTGATCCCACATGCAAGAAAAAATTCTAGGTGATTGTAGATCTTAACTTGTGAAAGTTAAATTTTAAAACAGTAGTGCTTCTAAGAAGTAATAAATAAAAATATTCAGGCTAAGAAAGATAACATAAAAGTGTTAATTATGAGTGAAAATTGATTAAAATAAACTACTTTAAAATTAAGAACTTTCATTTGGCTAAAGATATCAGAATGGAAAGCTACTCTCATAGTGAGAGAATATGTCTGCACACAAATAAATGTTGAAAGACTTGTTTCCAGAATATATAATTCTTAAAAATCAGATTAAAAAAAAAAAAAAACACAAAGGGCCAGCCTGGTGGTGTGGTGGTTAACTTCACCTACTCCGCTTCCGTGGCCTGAGGTTCACAGTTTCGGATCCCGGGCATGGACCTACACACCACTTACCAAGCCATGCTGTGGCAGGCATCCCACATATAAAGTAGAGGAAGATGAGCACGGATGTTAGCCTAGGGTCAATCTTCCTCAGAAAAAAGAGGAGGATTTGCGAAGGATGTTAGCTCATGGCTAATCTTCCTCACCAAAAAAAACAAAAGAGAATGCAAAAGAAAAATGATATGGCACCGGCAGGCAGTTTACAAAGAGGAGACCTGTGATAGGCAGCTTGCAAAATGGCTTCCATGGTCCCTACCTCCTGGTATTCACACCCTGTTAATTCCCTCACATTGAGTGAGGGCTAGAGAAAATATTTGTTCTGACTAAGAGAATGTAGCATAAGTGATGAGAAATCATTTCCAAGATTAGGTTGTAGAGAAACTGAGGATTCCATCTTGGGCCCCGGTTCTCACATGGCTCGCTCTCTCTGAGGGAAGCCAAGGGCCGTGTGCTGTGAACTGAACTGCTCTGTGGAGAGGCACACTTGGCGGCGGTCAGTATGAACCGACGCCTGCCAATAGCAGCGTGAAAAAGCTCAGAACTGCAGCTCCTCCCAGCTGAGCCTCGAGAGAACTATAACTCAGTGGACATATTGGTTTTGGCCTCTGAGAGACCCACAGAGACGTTGCTAAGCTGCATCCACATTCTTGACCCAAAGAAACAGATAATAAATGTTTGTTGTTTTAAGCCACTAAATTTTGGGTCATTTCTTAAGTACCAATGGATGATTAATACATATCCAAGCATCCAATGAATACTCGAAAAGCAGCTACACATCACTATTTATTAGAAATAACCAAAATAAGATACCACTACACACCCATCGGATTTGCTAAAATTAGTAATAAACTTCTGACTGCTACATATTGATAAAGATTTGGGGCAATAGAAATTACAATGCCATGCCGGTTGGAATGTAAATTGATACAATCACTTCAGAAAGCAGACTGGTAGTTATATACCACAAATGAAAGAAATGGGCATGTGCAAAAGGAGACATACATTACTGCTTATGTCAGCGCTGTCTTTAATCATAATATCAAAAAAAATCTAAAAACACCAAATATAGATCAAGATTAAAAGGAAAAATAAATTATGCTATATAAACACAATGAAATACAGTAAACCACCAAGAAAAGAATAAAATATACAGTTATATGCAAGGGCATGAATGAATCTTGTCAAAATAATTCACAGGAAAAAGAAAAAGGTACAAAAACTATTTCATAGGATAAAGTTAAAAAGCTGGCAAATTGGAACCATATTATTAAAAATTAACATAACGACTCCTTTTGAGAGGAGGCAGGATTAATGAATGTCAGATGCATAAGGGGTCCTCCAAGGTCCTGAAAGTAAAGATTTCCTAATTTCTGTGGGAGTTACAGTGTCCACCCTCCATCAGATCATTAATGTGCATATTTCGCTCTGTGGATTTTTCTGTACATGCCTTATATGTCCAATAAATAAATAAATAATAAAGAGTACTCAAAAAGAGAGGAAAATTTTTTCTACCTTTCTATTACAAGGGGAGAACCTTGTTTTCACTACAAAGTATATTTCTAATTTGAGCTAGACAAGCCTTTTGTAAGAAGACATTTCTCCAAGATTTTGACAATAGATTAACTGCATGCCCTTGACTGTTGTCAGTTTTTACATTTTTGTCAGCTTTTATAGATATTTTAGTAGAAATTTGGGAGAAGCTTATTAGAAGTTTCTAGCTTGTAAAGGAAATACTTTATTATTATTCCTCAAACCTTAAAATCTATTTTCTAGTTTAAGGTTATTGGGTATTAATATTGAGTAATAAAGTGAGTAAAAGTACGATGCTACTATTTATATATATTAGTAAAAGTTCTTAAAATTAGAAAATGCCTAAATCTATAAGATATGGTAGAACTCATAAGCTACATATTACATTTATAAATCAGTGATAGCAATAAAAACTGGTAGAGTTCTTTGTCTACAAAAATGAAATACATTTTAAGGATGTAATAAAATTCATTTTCTTCACAAAAATGCAATTTTGAGAAATTTATCATGAGAAAATATATATATATAATATTAACAGCAAAAGTAATTTGGAAACAACTCAATTTTAACAAATTAGTAAGTTGTTAGATTAGCTATTTACTTTTAAAAAAATAAGATACAGAAGACTAAATGGAAGTGTGGAAGATAGTAAATAAAACCAATGAGTTCAAATTTAAATGCATAACATTATTGACATTAGTAAAATATAAAAGGGAAAGTTGTTGATAGAAACAACAGAGTGGTGAGGAAAAAGGGGATATGTTAAATAATAAATCTAATAAATAAATAATTATATAAACATAATGAATATATTATTGTGGCTTGATATTTTTCCTTTCCAAACTTTCCAGATTAAAAGAACAAGAAAAGATAGCATCTTTACACTTATAAGGCAAAAATAAATGTTCACCATGCATTTTAAATGAATGAGATGGCAGTTGGGAGCTCTAGAACACCTACTCTTTTCCTGGTTGATGGTGTTGAGGATAGAGATGAGGATTGTTTAGGACCAGACTCTAAGGAATCAACCAAAAATCACTTTTACTATTACTAAAAAATGACTCCTACTATTACTGTGTTCTGTGTCTTGATTCTTATATCAATGACTTCAACCGAATGTAATACCCATCTTCCAGACGTTTCGGCAGCCTGGGAATGCACATACACGTGAGCAGTTCACTGTTCGTGACGTAGTGCACCCTCGAGTTGTTCAGGAGCAGCTGTGGAATGACGGGTAAAGAGACCCACGATTTTGTTCCAGCTGTGTCACTTTTGTGACCTTTGTCACCTTGAGGATAAATGTCCCACTTCTTCCTTTCCTCCCTGAAAAATGAGTGGATTAGAGTGGTTCATTTCTAAGGTAACTTCACAAAAAATTTTTCCGGATCTGTGTAAAATGTCAGCAAGCAAATAAACTTCAGTTTTTTTTGTTTTTGTTTTTGTTTTTTTGTGAGGAAGATCAGCCCTGAGCTAACATCCATGTTAATCCTCCTCTTTTTGCTGAGGAAGACTGGCTCTGAGCTAACATCTATTGCCAATCCTCCTCCTTCCCCCCCCCCCCGCCAAAGCCCCAGTAGATAGTTGTATGTCATAGCTGCACATCCTTCTACTTGCTGTATGTGGGATGCGGCCTCAGCAGGGCTGGACAAGCGGTGCAATGGTGCACGCCCAGGATCCAAACCTGGGCCGCAAACCAGGGCCGCCAGTAGCGGAGTGTGCGCACTTAACCGCTAAGCCACGGGGCTGGCCCTAAACTTCAGTTTTATTAACATACTACTTTCATAATTCTCTGATTCTGTAAACATTTTTTTCTAGTTAACAGCAAGTAGAAGCTTATTTACAATTATTAGGAAACTCCCTAGAGACGGTAGATATAATGGTAATTAGCACCAAAATTGGAATTAACTTGATCATTATATAAAAACTTAGCTGATTTCCTAATAAATCCAAAAAAATTTGATGATTTACTATTTCTAAGAGGGTGCTTATTGGGTTACATTTAATATTATCTTCATGAAATGCATGAATTCAGCCTCAATTTTAAGATATTTTAGTTTAATTCTGTCATAGTGCAGGATTTCTTTTTTTCAAGTTTACAGTTAAGCTAATGAAGCATTGAATTTAAGTTGTAACTAATTGAGAGAAATATTACTACACTTCATGTGCACAGGACTTCTATCAAATATACTGCTCCACCCTGCTGTGTTCAAGCTGTTTGTATTTCGTTCTCTGCCAGCTGGTTCATACTGAGACACAATAATTCATATGTGCATTTATCTTTTCTTTTTTTAACTACTGAAAAGGACATCTAACATGACAACATGTTCTATGAAGTCACTTCTTTGCAGAAATATGCTGTAGTTATGGGACACAGACTAAAGTTATCTGACAGAGTTTTATAATTAAAATGACAAATGGCACATTAGGCTCTAGAAGCATAACTTGTTATTTTAGAAGCCGTGATCTCTGTGTCTGATTGTTCCCTTGTAGAGATTCTCATTCGTATTAAAAAAAACAATGGTTTAACATGTAAACAAATTTCTTAATTAACTAATTTTTTGTATAGATTTTTAAAGGCTTCTGCACATGTCATCTTATTTGGAGTAATCAGGAAAACCTGAGGGAGATAGAACAATTTAGAAACAAAGACATTTTCTGAGGCTATGGGACCTGTAGGGGGCAAAGTAATCGTTATAGCCAGGGCTACATATCCATGGCAAATGCTCAGTCTACAGGGAAATACATAATCCTAGGAAGGTCACAGGGGCTGGAAAACATTCATTAATTCCTTCTTTCTAGAAATGTTATTCTTTCACATATTTATTCACCTACGAGCCTTATGCTTCCCACCTGATTAAGTGGAAATTTTACCTGAAAGTTCTTTTGTTCATTCATCACTCATTCATTCAGAATATACCATCACTTAGGATTCTAAGCCCTAGATGAATAGCTGGTAATACAGAGATTATGAAGATCCCATTACATTTCTGAGTGAGCAGAGAGGAGACCAGACAGGAAATGGACACACCTCCACGGCAGTTCTTGTTGCCAGCACAAAGGGATTTGGAGGGCACAGTGAGGAGCTCTCTTTCTCCGACTGTCTGCCAGAGGTGGTGGCCCCGCACATTGTGCTTCTCCATTGGCTGCCACGACACAATTTGTCAACCTACTGTTATGTGCCTAAAAGTGGGGGTGGCAAAAAGCAAGAAATTAGAAGACTGTGTATTTAAAATAAACCAAGTCCGCATGAGATAAACAATATTACTAAAATATGATTTCTGGTTTACTACATTGAAAATGTGTTCAGAGGGGCTGGTCTGGTGGCGTCGTGGTCAAGTTCCTGTGCTCTGCTTCGGCGGCCTGGTGTTCGCAGGTTTGAATCCTGGGTGCGGAGCAACGCACCACTCATCAGGCCATGCTGTGCTGGCGTCCCACATATAAAATAGAGGAAGACTGGCACAGATGTTAGCTCACAGCCAAGGTTCCTCATCAAAAAAAAAAAAAAAATGTTTGGAGGAAAATATTTAAAACTGTGGTTAGACTTTTTCGTAGAAGAGTAACTATTAAATAAAATAGAGATTGCATAAAAGGAATGGAAATTACAAATATAATTGAAAAATTATTATAAAAGCATTAATTCAAAGAAGTTTTCATTGCTCACCAGAATAGTGCATGGTAGAGACAAATATAAAGATATAAAAATAGTCCACCCTAGTCCCTCCATAATGACATTCCATTATTAATATTTTTACATATTTTTAAATGTTCTCTGCATTTACCTGAGAAATTTAGACACAGTTTTAAGTCCTCATTTTTTAGCAATTATAATATACAGTGTTTGTTATAAAATTCTTGTGAAATCATATTTAAAAAATTATCGTCCCTTTATCTATTAGCTATTTAATAACATTGAAGACTTTAGAAAACAGACAGAAAATCAAACACTAGATTAAAGATAAAAAATTTGAAATCATGCCAACCCCGATAATCAATTTGTTCCAACCACATTGGCTTTTTTCTTTACTTCATAATTCAAGGCAATTTAATATCATTAAATTATAATTACTATCCATTTTCTCTACCCACAACAGTCCCTTTTTATGCGTGAACCTGTTATAGTATTCTCTTAACACTATTGTGATCTCACCATTAATTCTGTTTTGTAGCCTGAATCTTTTACTCAAAGTATGTATCATGATTATTTTGATTTCTCTAGTGTTTAACAGCTTGATTTTTATCGCTGCAGATGAGAAGAAAATATATATTCATATGTATAATGTTATATATACTATCATACTATTCCTTACATCATCCATGTACTAAGAGGCTCTGTAGTATGGTTATAAATATAATATAAAGATACAGTATACTTCAGAGTTATGAAAACCAACTCTGAAGCCAGATTACTGGGGTCCTAATCCTAGTTCTGTCACTTACTAGTTCTACGACCCTAGGCAAATTACTTAACCCTCTTGTGCTCACGTTTTCTAATCAGTAAAATGGAAATGAGAATAATACTGCATCAATCAGGTTACAGACAGCAGAAACCAATCTAGATATTTCAAGCTTTGGAAATCTAACATGGAAAGCTGGTTACACAATTAATGGCAGGCTGAAAAGTCAGTAAGTCAATGCGAAAGCAACCCAGAGATTAACAACCTCAGGAACCATCTATGCTCCCTAGGACAAGGGGAACAAAAGGACGTCCCAGTGGCAGAGCCTAGTAGAAGTAAAGGAATTTGGGAAAAGCAGTTTGAAAACTTCCAGCACCAGCATCAAAACCTGCAGTACAGTCAGGCGTTGCTTAACGACAGGACTACAATCTGAGAAATGCATTGTTAGGCAATTTCGTCATCGTGCAAACTTCATAGAGTGTACTTATACAAATCTAGATGGTATTGCCTACTACACACCTAGGCTCTCTGGTACTAGTCTTATGGGACCACTGTCATATATGTAGTCCATCATTGACCAAAATATCCTTATGAAATGCATGACTGTTGTAGGGTCACGCTTGCCTGGTACTAGCCCACGTGCCCTATAACAACCATGTGTCCTTCTGGCCCCCTTCTGGGCAGGACGCCAACCATCTGCTATTGCAACTGTTTCTCTCTAAGAACATCACGTCTTGAGGGAGCACAGAGCCCTCCACATGAGCTACTGCTCCTTGGAATGCTGGCCATGCAAGTACAGTCCCTCTTGGCAAGCACGGAGCCTTTGTTCCCCTGCCTACGTAAGCAATCCCCTCTCTGTTCACAGTGGCGGGTGCATGTGCACACCTCTGTCCAG